TTATAAGAAATTGTGTATTTATTCTTACATATCTAAACGTCAGTCACCTTCAAAGTAGTCTTCCTTTGATACAGTATACCTATTGAGATGCTTTTTCCACTGCACAAAACAGTTTTTGAACTTGTCCATTTTGATGGCTTTCGGTGCTTCTTCCATTTTTTGTTTAACCTCTTCCACATCGACAGGACGATTCCCTTTGAAGATGATTCCCTTTGAAGACTTTTTTCATCTGGGGAAACAAAAAAAAAAAGTCACTCAGGGTGAGATCCAGTGAAAAGGGAGGGTGAGGCATAGGGGCATGCCGTTTTTGGTCAAAAACTGCTAAACACTCAGCACTGTGTGGACAGGTGTGCTTGTAAATCACCCATCATGAAATGGGCAAATACGTTGAAAGAATCTAAAAAAAAAAAAAAAAAATCTCACTGAAGCTGAACCAAGCCTCTCACAACAGTGCTAGCTGGCACACTAATGCCAATGGGTTCCTAGAACACTTATCTGGGGGGAAGCCTGTATTACAAGGGGCTTGCCCTCCAAAAAATAATTTCATTTCTGGGGAGTCCCTTCATAAATAAAGCCGTGGGAGTGGGTGAGATTGTCTAAACAGAGAGAAACTGGTAGGTAGGGAAGGAGGCCTGGGCCTTGCAGAGGACACACCTGGAATGGGTGAGCAGAGGTCAAGGAGCAGCATGGAGGCTGAGAGGTCTGAGAATCAGCAGCATACTGATAACTAAGGGCCAGGGAGGTGGCAGAAAACATCACGTATGAGACAGCTAGCACTCAGAAGGAGAAAGATCCCCATGGGCTGACTGGGCTAGGGAACATCTGGTGACTATAACTGGGCCTGGATAGATAAATAGGACTCTGACAGAGAAGAGAAAATTCTAGAGGTGAGAGGAAAAGGAGGGACATATAAGAAAGGACAGAGATAGGCAGGAGTGAGGTGTGTTGAAGGCCGTTTTTCATGTATAGCTTGTTGGGATTCAGGTAGGAGCATGTATTATAAGAAAAAGTTAGCAGGTAGATGGTGACTTGGGGGATGATCCCCCTGCTTGTGTGCTTATTTTCCATTCATCTGATTGTCTCTGGCCCAGCCTCTGTGGGAGAGCAAGCGTCGCACTGGGTGACTTTGCCCATTGCCTTGCTACCCCACAGATATGTCATGCAGTCGAAGCTTTTGAAATATTTGTGACCAACATGGCTCAAGGTGAACATGAGGACATTGAGCCTTGTGATGAAGTAGAATGCAGAGATATGGGTGTTGAATGGTGTGTGCCTGATTCCTTCTCTCCACCTTACCTCAAAGAGCCCAGCTGCGGTGTCCTCGGGCTCTGTGTCTCCCCTTGTGCTCTCTTACAGGGAGTAGCACAAACAAACTTTTGCCTGAAAGGCAGGATGGCATTATCTTCCCTGAGTGGGCTCATAAATGCAGATTCTTTGGAGAGAGGTACTTTCATCAGTTCCTGAACCAGCGTCTTGCATGTGCGAGAACAGATGTGGCTGCATTATTCAGTTTCCCAATTTGACTTCCCTACTCGAATGTACTTAAGAAAATGTGATGTCAATGAACACATCTCCCCAAGGGAAAATAATCCACTGAAAACAGAATTGGCAACCAGATTTGGACACGCCAAGAGGAGTTTCAAATGTTCCATTAAAGCACTTGTCACGTTGGTTGCTTACTGAATTTTCTGCCCAAAATGTTATGATGTATTGTCATTTCAAGTTTTCTTACTAAAAATGAGATAATTTCTAGTTATATTTCCTGTGAAACCATATTATTTTCAAAACACATCACACTATAGAAGAAACATGTTTGTTTAACTCTGCCCTTTATTTTCTTGTTTTTTTATATTGTGAAATGTGACATCCATAACAAAGTGCATGAAACATATTTCTATTGTTTATAGAATATTTTAAAAATGGAATGTCTGTGTAACCATCACCCAGAAAAAGAAGTAGAATATTGCTAGCACCTGGAATTCTGGTGTGCCTTTCCTTCTTCCTAGAGTTACCACAGCTTCATTTTTGTGGTTATCATTTTATTACTTAAAAAAAATTAATTAAAAAAATTTTGGGGACAGGATTTCACTGTGTTTCCCAGGCTGGAGTACAGTGGTGGGATCATAGCTCATTGAAGCCTCCAACTCCTGGGCTCAGGTGATCCTTCCTCCTCAGCCTCCCAAGTAGCTGTGAAGGACTACAGACTCCTGCCACCATGCCTGGCTTGTATTTTTATTTTTGTAGAGATGAAGTTCTCACTATGTTGCTGAGGCTGGTCTTGAACTCCTGGGCTCAAGCAGTCCTCTCCCCTCAACTTCTCAAAGTACTGAGATTACATGCTTGAGCCACTGCACTTGGTTATTATTGCTTTTACTTAAAGTTTTGCCATCTATTTATCCATCCTTAACAATATTGATTAGTTTTGTTTGTATCATAGTATATTTATTTTTTGTATCTTTGTGCAAATACAAAACACGAATGCCTCATAAAATTTTGCACACTAGAAGTGTTACTGCTTCATGCTGGTCCCAGCCCTGTTCTTCTTGTGTGTGTAGCTTTGGTTCATCTTTTTCATGGCTGAATAACATTCCATTAGTAAGGCTATACCACAGTCCATTTATGCATTGTACTGGTGGACATTTGGGCTTTCTCTTGCAAGTGTGGGTCTCGCTCTGTCACTCAGGCTGGAGTGCAGTGGCATGTTTATGGCTCACTGCAGCCTTGACTTCCTGGGTTCAAGCGATCCTTTTGCCTCAGCCTTCCTCTTAGCTGGGACTACAGGCACATGTCACCATGCCTGGCTTTTTTTTTTTTTTTTATGGAGATGAATTTCTTGCTACATTGCCTAGGCTGGTCTTGAACTCCTGGCCTCAAGCAATCCCCCTGCCTCAGCCTCCCAAGTACCTGAGACTACAGGAGCACCACACCCAGTTAATTTTTGTTTGTTTGTTTGTTTGTTTGTTTTTAGAGATGAGATCTCACTATGTTGCCTTGGCTGGTCTTGAACTCCTGGCCTCAAGCAATCCTCCTGGCTTGGCCTCTCAAAGTGCTGGGATTATAGTAGTGAGCTACTGCACTTGGCCTTCATATGAATATTCTTATACATGTCTCCTGAAATACATATGCATGGACTCTATAGTATATATAGCAAAGAATGTTTTCATAAACATGATATTTTAACTTTTTTCTGGATAATTAATGATGAAACATGCCAATACAATGTAAATATGATTTTATTGTAAACCTTAGTATTTTAGATATAATGGAAAATAGTGTTCATTTTAACATCTATCAATTCTACACACATACACACACACGTACACACACACACACACACACACTTTACCTCAAAGTGGGGTCAAACTTTTGCAGGCAAGATTAGCATTCAAGGCAGAATGCTTCATTTTGAAACCTTGCCCAGCTGTTCTTCCTGCCTCCCACCCCTAGTACTCCTTAGTTTAGTGGATCTTTCAAAGGGAAATAAAAGTGAATCATGCCAGAAATTGAAAGAATTGAAAGTTGATTTGTCAGAGGCAGACAGCTCTTCAAGACTTCAGTTTTCATGAGCCCTGGTTTACCCTGCTCTGGTGAAGAGAATGTAAATTATGGGCTGTATATAACTGAGCCTATGAGCATGTTGAATTAGGTTGTTTAATGTGCCTGGCATGTTCCTCCTCTCTGGATTATGTGAAACACATATCTGACTACTATATTTAGTATCTGTTGCCATCATGTGCTTTGTGATGGAATCTGCTGATTAAAACATAATTATTTCATTTATTAGATAGTTTGAAATTTGTCATCTGGCTCTGTCTCAGTCAGTTCAGGTTACTATAGTGAATTAACATAGACTGAGTGGCTTAAACAACAAATACTTCTCTCTCACAGTTCTGGAGGATGGGAAGTCCAAGACCAAGGTGACTGCAGATCTGGTGTCTGGTGAGGCTCTGCTTCTTGGTTTGCATAGCTGCCTTTTTGTTGGATATCCACATGGCAGAGTACTCTGGTCCTTTATCCCTTTTAAGGGCACTAATCCCATTCATGAGGGCTCCACCCTCATGACCTAATCATCTTCCAAAGGCCCCACCTTCAAATACCAACACATATAGCGTTTAAGCTTCAGCTTATGAATTTGGGGAAAACACAAACATTCAATCTATGGCAAACTCTTTGAGATATGCCACATTTTCTGTTAGCTTTTGTTGCAGACATTAGTAAAATAATTATATTTATTAAATTAGTAATTTGATTATTAAAATGACCAATTATCCACCTTTTTTGCTGTTGTTGTTTTGATAGGTTCTTTCTCTGTTGCCTAGGCTGGAGTGCAATGAATGATCATAGCTCACTGCAGTCTCTGACTTCTGGGCTCAAGCCAGCCTCTTGCCTCAGCTGCCCTAGTATCTGGGACTAGCCACCATGCTAACTTAAAAAAAAAAAAAGGTAGATGTGAGGTCAACTATTCAGCTTTTATTGTTGTCACTAGTAGTCTTGGTCTAATTCTACTTCCATGTGTTTGATTCAGTGAAATAATTGTACAGGTTGTATAACTATTAGAGTTTTTCTTTTATGAACTGCATTGTCTTAAAGGGTATGTACTTTGGTACACATGACTAATGATTAATAGAATTTTGCTTTATAGAAGCACTAGTTATATAACAGAGATGTATTTTTCCAGCAGGGTTCAAAACCTGATCAGAATAAACTAGCAAGGAAATACAGGAAATTTGACTTAATTGTAAAAGGCATTGTAAATTAGAAAAACATCTAAAATAGCCATTATATTTGTACTTATTTGCATATATCAGCATTTAACCAGAGATAGAACTGGGAAATTTTTAGTTGAAAATAGTTTAATATACTTGAATACTTGAAAATAGTTGTATAATATAGTTTTAAAAACTCAGTTTATGATAGTGAAACATAGCCCCCTTTAAATCTAAACTGTATGCCAGATTCTTTATATAATTTTGGCTTCCAAATAAGGCAACCGTTCCAGATAAGGAATAGGATTCATTTATTCTTTACAGCAGGTCTTCATTAAAGCTCATCTGATCTTTCGGTTTGATTTTTTAGAGTTTGTTTCACATTTCACAAGGATTTTCTCCTGGGTTGGGAGAAGTTGAAGATCATCCGTGTTTTCTGAGCAAAATGTCATTCTGAATAGAAAACATAAAGCAAACATAGCGTTACATTTTACATGGAGCTTATTAAAGTGTTTTATCCTTTATCAAATTCCACTCAATTTATGTAACAGATATGATGTCTTTTTTAAAATTAGATTCTTATGTTCACAAATATTTTTATAACTTCAGTAAGAAACAAAACCCAAGCCAGTGAAAGCGATCAATGTGAGACTTCCCAGGGCTCTGCACAGGCGATTTCAGTTCTGTAGGAATGAAAGTCCTAGGGGCAGCCCTTCTTTGTTCTCCTGTATAAGAGCTCATCAAAGATTTAAGGGTGACTGTTGTTTCTTTGGCTATACTGCCCTGACTCTAGGGTGAACATTCCTGGTTCCTCATCTGTTCCTCTCAAGGCAGGCTTAACTCCCCAGCCTTCTGTCCTTGGACACGCTCCAATTTGTCAACACCGTTTGTAAAGGTCTTTGGCACGAGGCCACTGTCATCAGCTTCTGCCTGGCTCAACTCTGCAAGCCTGTCCCTTCCTCTTCTTGGTTCTAACACTGTCTACTCAAGAGAACACCACTTTGTGTCTTGGGTCTCTCTTGAAAGTACTGCTGGCTTGGCCTGAGATGCCATTTTGTGTTGCTAACTGCAGTTGCATCTATTAAAAAAAGTTACATATGTAATCTCAGAGAATTCTAATTTATGACTTCTTTTTTCTTTGGATTGTATCTAAGATCAAATTTTTACTAAGGTCAGACTTTTAAAATTTAAAAAATGTCATGAGTAATTTGTAAATGCATGCTTGAAAATTCAGATGGTAAAGACATATATAAAGTCAAATAGTAAAGACCCTCTTCACCACCACTCTTCACTAACACCACTCCCCTGCCCCCTTACATTTGGTACGTATGTATTTCCAGCTCTACTCCTATGCATTTACGTGTATATTGATGCCCCTACACAAATATAAAGACTTTAAAATGAAGTGGAATTACAGTGTATACATTTTCCTACAGTTTTTCCTTGTCACCAAATAACATACTTGGAGACCTGTTCATTTCAGTACACATCAGTCTATTTCATGCTTTTTCATCTGCTGTGTGACAGTCCATTATATGAATATACCACAATGCATTTAGCATTTTCCTACTGTTAGACATTGAGATTTTCTCAATAGTTTACTGTTTACTTATTATATATACTATCTATTTATTTATTTTTGAGTTGGAATCTCACTGTCACCCAGGCCGAAGTGCAGTGGCATGATCACAACTCACAGCGGCTTTGATCTCTTATGGTCAGGCAATCCTCCTACCTCAGCCTCCCAAGTAGCTGGTGTGCACCACCATACACAGCTAAATTTTTTTTGTAGGGATGAGGTTTCACTATGTTGCCTAGACTGGAACTCTTGGGCTCAAGCAATACTTCTGCCTCAGCCTCCCAAAGTGCTGGGATTACAGGTGTGAGCCACTATGCCCTGCTGTATATACTATTTATTTAATAGCACTGCAACATTTTCGTACACAGATATCCTTTGTGCATATTTTTGAGTACGTACACAAATACTACAGAAATACTATAAACACCTAGAAGAAAAATTCTGGCTCACAGTAATTTGCATATTTTAAAAATTGATAATGTAAGCTCCATGAGACTAAGGACTTACGTTGGTAAAGAAAATTCTCCTGCAAAACATCCGTAATCTGGACATTGTCTGTCTTTTAATTCCTGCCAAGCTAATGGGTGACTGTGGTAATTCCATTGATTTTTGTTTTGCATTTATATGATTACTATGTAAATTGAACATCTTCTCATTAGGCTTAGCCAATTACTTAAGTCTTGCCATAGGGCCAATATTTTCTGTTCTTTTTCCTCACCTTTCTCCACAACCCTGCTCTGCCCTGATTTTGTGCTTTAACGGGAAGAAAAATCACCTCCTATTGAATTCCTCCAGTGGAGGCTCAGAGCAACTTACTTAACCTACTTTTTTTTTCTTTTATACTTAGCAGAGAGATTAAATGTAGAGTTTAGTGTTTGCATCCTGATTCTGGGATTTTGCAAAAGGCACTAAAAAATTGGTAGCTATTATTAGACTCATGGAATGCACATTACAACTCCCACTTATTACTAAATAACTCAGTCTTGAAGAGGTGACATAATTGTTTAAGGCTACAGATGGTGAGCAGTGGGGTCAAAATTTGAGTTTCAGACCGGCTGATGCCAGAGCCTAACTGATCCTGCCTATCATATTGCTTTGCTCGCTGCCTGTCTCCCTGGGAACATCCCTTGGCTTCCTTAAAACCCGTCACAGCACAGCCCCAAATGCACTGACCTGAGCTGCCTTTCTTATTACAATTCCTGGACTATGGTGATACTAGACTTTTGCTACTCAGTGTGGTCCGTGGACCCGCAGCAACAGTTTAGTCTGGTTGCTCGTTAGACACACAGAACATCAAGCTTTGCCCCAGACCTAATGAAGCGAAACCTGCATTTTAACACGATTCCCTGATGATCTGAATGCACACTTAGATTTGAGAAACCCTAGAATGGAGCACACTGTTAGTAAAATTAATACATCTTGTTTTCTTAAGTAGATTCTGGAGTTTCTTTATATGAAGAGCCACAACTCAGGTTTTCTGGTATCCTCCAGCACTGCCTGGTGCTGTATAGACAAATAGGAGGCACTCAGTATTTACAACCTAAACAACTATAGTCAATCTATAGTTTTTTTGTTTTTTTGTTTTTTTTTGAGTCGGAGTCTCACTCTAGCCCACACTGGAGTGTAGTGGCACGCTCACGGCCAGCACAGCTCGACCTGCTGGGCCCAGATGATCCTTCCGCCTCAGCCTTCTTAGTAGCTGGATAGACAGGCGCATGTCACCACGCCCAGCTAATTTTTTTATTTATTGTAGAGACAAGGTCTCGCCAAGTTGCCCAAGCTGTTCTTGAACCTGTGGGCTCAGGTGATCCTCTCGCCTCGGCCTCTCAAAGTGCTGGGATTACAGGCATAAACTACCACAGCCGGCTGAGCCCATCATTTTTAAAACCCCTACAGTCCCACTGCATTTTTTTTTTTTTTTGAGTTGGAGTCTCACTCTGTCGCCCACACTGGAGTGCAGTGACTGCTCCCGACCACCGCAGCCTCGACCTGCTGGGCTCCGGCAATCCTTCCGCCTCAGCCTTCCAAGTAGCCGGAATTACAGGCATGCGCTACCATGCCCAGCTGATTTTTTTGATTTATTGTAGAGATGAGGTCTCGCCTGCCCAGGCGGGTCTCGAACCCGCGGGCTCAGGCAATCCACTCACCTCAGCCTCCCAAAGGCGTGGGATTACAGGCTGAGCCACCGAGCCTGGCTCCACTGCTTTTTAAGTATATGTCTTCTACAACCCTGAGGGAGGATTTGGTGCATATATATGTGAATTCCCAGCACTGCAATCCTGTTAGATTGGACTAATGGAAGAAGAGACTACTGGAAACAGTACACAGGCAACAAATGGGTAGCAAGTCAGACAAATCCTGCACTGGGACAATTGTTAGCAACGTCTTCAAACTATGCAACTTCTATCAGCCTTGGGTTCCTAATAGGCACAATCAGTACTATCTGTTTCTTTCTTGTTTCCTTTTTTAAAAAAAAATATGACATGGGGCTTGCTGTGTTGGTCAGGATGGTCTCAAATGCCTGGCCGCAAGCAATCTTCCTGCCTCGGCCTCCCAAAGTGCTGGGATTACATGCCTGGCCAATATTAACTTGTTTTTGAGTTACTGGGAAGATGACATGAGATTAATGTCCTGGAGTGCCAAGGTCAGTGCCCATCGTGTTTGGGAGCGCTGGAAGTGCCAGTTCCCTCCCTCTCCTGGTTCTTTCTTTCGTACCACATTGGTGTGCCCAAGTGGAGAAGGTGGTGGTGTGTTTTATACAGCCTTTCAGGTCAAGTCACATGGGACTGTCATGGTAAGCAACCACTAAAATGGAGGCCTTACTCTCTAGCTGGAAGAAACAGTGGTCACAAGGAGCACTGCTCTACAGGGCCAAAGAGTCATGTGAGAACAGTTCAGAGCAAGAGAGGAGTGAGCAGTTTAATTTTCTCTGATTGATCATGTGGAGAAATCTCTTGGCAGACCACAGAGTGTGCTCTTAGTAATTGCCAGAATTTTGCATCCCCGGGAGATAAAAATCTCAGAGTGTGGTTGTATAAGGGGCTCAGGGGACATAAATCTGCCACAGGCTGGGCTGGCTTCTGGCAGTGGACCCCGAGGCATGAGGGAGGAGGGTAGCTCAGAGGCTACAAGCCTGCTGTTTTCCCTCTCTGCTGCGGGCAAGCCAAAGAGAGACCCGACTTCCCCATGAAGGATGGTAGGAGGGGAGAGACAAGCTTCCAGAATACAGTAGGGCAGAGATCGGAGAGGACCTATGAGAGCACAGAATCCCCCCACCATGGAGAACCACAGGCCACAGAAAGGCCCACTTGCTTTGGCGGATTGCATGGGGCAGTCCTCCACACTGCTGGGAGACTCCAGGAACACTGGACCATCCTTCCTTTTCTTTCTCCACTCCCCACCCAAATCTCTCTTTAGGACTTTGAGACCACAGGAGATATTAAATCACACAGAGCAGCATTTCTTAAGGGTAGTTCATTGGTCCACAACAGGAATTCTTAGGGCTCTTACTCAAAAACGTGCATCCTGGGTGCCTTCCCAAGACCACATTGCATCGGAAGCTCTTCAGGTGGGTCCAGGAATTCTGTACATTTATTAAGCTTCCCAGAGATTCTCTGGCCTCTAAGATTTCAAAGACACCACCACAGAGAGAGATAAATTGGGATCTTTGAGACTGTGATCTGTTAAAAGCATTTTTCTGTAAGCAGCAAAAACGAAACATTATGTCTACAGTGGCACCTTGGACCAGCAGCACGCCATTACCTTAACACTGAAGTGATTCATCTTAACACTGAAGTTTGAGAACATCTGGCTAGGGAGATAGTTTTCAAGCTCCAGAGGCAGGTAGTTACTAGCCACAGGCAGGGGGAAGAGGCTGGCCTGGGATCCAAAAGACCTGAATGCGAATCCTCACCCTTCCATCTGTGGTTCTGTGAACTGGGAATAGTCACTTTACCTTTCTGAGCATCTGCACTCCACTGCTAGGGCATACTAGTTCCCACTTTATATGACAAATATGACTATCAAATAGTGAAGCTGCCTGGCACTTGTGGGTGCCTAGTAGATGTTAGCAGGAGACCGAGTCAGCACTCACCTTTGCTGGGTTTCTCCTGCTTTGGCTCTGATGGTCTTCAGAGTGAGGCCTGAGTGGCGGGGTTCTGTGCCCCATGGGATGAGGGTCTGCACTGTGTTCCACACATTGGCCCACACTGCGCTGTTTTCCCACTTGAACTTGATCATGACCAGCTCGCCAATATCCAAATCCAATGTGATAAGAAAGGCATAGGTTTTGTTACTAGTAATTCCTTCACCCCTTGAAGATACAAAGGAACAGACACAGTGAGTTAAGTTGTGACAGCACAGTGATGCTTAGGCACATTTTCAGGGTGTGTTAGGTTTGCCCCAGTGACTTGGGATGGGTTTTTTTGCTACATTTTCCAAACTGGTGATCAACAGACTATTAGTAGAGATAGCAACAGGTGTGCCAGGAGAGAAGATGTTTTCCAGACAATACAATTGGGAAAGCCATACTATTGTCTGTACTGGCATATTAAATCGTCTCTGAGGAGTCCTGCCAGAAGGAATCTAGTTAACTTTCTCGAGCTTAGCTTCTAGGAAGAAGCCCCTGTGGAGAGTGGGCTTCTCCAGGGCCTCTTGACAGTTCAGCTTTCTGGAGGTTTGATGAACACAGGACATCCACACCACACCCGCTCCCCTTATATAAATAGAAACCTCTATTAAGACAGCAAAGCACAATAGTAATTGAAAAACCACCTATAAGAGGGATGTACCACTTCAGAGCAAAGTTTAAATGCAGACTCTCAGGTATCATTAGCAGCTTTACTCACTAATCCCCAAGACATTTAAATATTTCCAACATTGTACCTGGTCCTAAACCAGGGGAAGTGAGGACCAGTTAGAGGTCCAAACCTCACCAGCACATAGACAACTTATGTATCTAATCCTGACTTGTACCCCACATCTCTATGATAAAATAAAGTTATTAAATAAATATTCTAAACATTGACAGAGCAACCAGATGCCCTTTCTGTTGAGAACAAACCCCTGGAGAGAGATTTTAGGCAGGGCAGAGGCAACATTGAATTTTGGGCGAGGAGGATGGATGAGGGTTCCCTTTGTGGCTTGGTGTAGTTCTTCCTGCAATATGTTAAAACAAGTGTTTAGGAACCCCCCTGACCCCCGTGCTCGTAGGTTGTGAGTGTCCATTGATAGGGTCCTCTCTTTCCTTAGATTTGTTGGATGGAGCACCAACAAATACTTGTTGAATGACGGAGTTAGTGTGATGATCAGAAAGCCAAAGCTGGGACGGTCTTCGGGGAGCTAGGGTACTGTGCTCACCATTTGGAAGACGGGTTCAATGGAAGTCCAAATTCCAGCATTACGTGATATATTAATAGCCATGTAATGAACTTGCACATGTACCCCTGAATCTAAAATAATAATAATAATAATAATAATAATAATACTTTTTAAAAAGGAAGCTCAGGGCTGGGTACAGTGACTCATGCCTGGAATCTCAGCACTTTGGGAAGGTGAAGTGAGAGAATTTCTTGAGCCCAGGAGTTCGAGACCAGCCCAACCTGGGCAACATAGGGAGAACTTGTCTTTACAAAAAATACAAAAAATAGCCAGTTGTGGTGGCACATGCCTGTAATCCCAGCTACTCAGGAGACTGAAGCAGAGGATCACCTGAGTCCAGGAGATTGAGATTGTAGTGAGTCATGATTGTGCTGCTGATTCCAGCCTGGGTGACAGAGTAAGATCCAACTCAAAAAAAAGGAAGCTCAGGACCCTCCTTAGGGTGGGTGAGGGGAAGCTAGTATCCCTTTCCAAGGAGGGTCCATGTTGAGGACTGAGATACCAATGAGGCTAGGAACCTCCAAGTCAGGCGTCATGAGGCCACTGTGGGTATTGTGAGCAGGTGGGAAACGAGGTGAAGGACAGATGGGGAGGCTGGCAGGGAAGGCTGATTGAGATTGGAAATCTGTGCCAAGTCGAACAGTATCATTTTTATTTCTGGGTTACGGTTTTCTGGACTCACTGGAAAAGCACTTGCGGACTTCTTGGGATACCTGCCCTGCCCCTCACCACTCACCCTTCTTCCTGCACCCCAGGCCCTGGCGCAAACACCTCTGATTTCTCTGTCTGCTCAGCCCGTGGTGCTGGGCTTGCCTGAGGAGTGCAGCTAGGGGCTGTGTGTGGGTGGATGGTCCTATCTGACCCAGGCGGCCATAATGAGATGAGCTGGATCTGCTTAAGGGTGTTCTCGGTAGCGCCAAATGATTACTTATAGTCACAAGAACCAAACACCTGGACTTGGGCCGGGAGTTTTCTGGTTTAGGTAAGAGCTAGCTCAGGTGGTATCTGGATCTCCCTCGGTGTCCTGTGCATCGTGGGCGCTCAAATCCTCAAGCCTGGAGTAAAGTAGCCATGTCTGGCCTGACCCTTGAAAAGTACTGAGTCCATTCAGACCCTGTGAGAAAAACAAGCCTGTCAGCACCATAGGGGGCTACACCTCACACTCACAGAGTGATGGGGATTTTCTGCATTTCTCCTTTTGTTCCGAATAGCGACATGGTAAAAGTTGGCTCCACTGGTTTCTCAATTTGATTGATAAACTGGATCTTGAACTGGTAATGATAAACTAGAGAGAGAAAGAGAGAGAATTTAAGCAGGCATTTTAAATTTAAGACCTCATATTTTTAAAAATTTTAAAATGCAGAAGGAACGGTTTAGATAGAGAGACACCAAAGTGTTAACAAAATTTTCCCCCCTAAGTGGTGGGATCATGCATGCTTTTTATCTGCTTCTTTTTGATTCTCTGTATTTCCTAAAAATCTACACAGGAATTATATTGTGTGTGTAATATATTAATGATAAGTATTAGCCAGCAAAAGATGGCAGAATAGGAGTACAGTATGTCTGGCATTCTCACCAATTTCTGGATGCAAGTTCTGTTGCAATAGCGTATGTATTTGGCAAGGGTCTCCTTTCATAAGTGGAAGGATATGCCTTTTAGGTCCCTGACAAAGGCAAGAGAGAGTACACTGCCATCTTACACTTCGCCTCTGCCTGATGGGGTCTTTTTCAAGGTGGGAGAGAGCTCCAGCTGAGAAGAGTGTGCCCTCGTGGCCACATCTCTGCATTCTAGGGAAGTTCCTGGTCACAAGCTCTGTGAGGTTCAATAAGGACATTTCCTAATGGAACTAAGATAACTCTAGTTCTGGAACTTGGGCTAAATGTTCTCCTCTTGTTAGATGTCCAGAATGTCCCTCATCCTGGGCTGGTTGGAAAAGAGTAATTTATTTTATTCTTATTTATCTAAATACTCTCTACAGTTAATTAATAGAAGCAAATGGCTTACTATTGGGAGACATTGTTAAATACTTTACATGGCATCACCTCATGTACTCATCACAACAATCCTGTGATACAGGTCCTGTTATTATCATCCCCACTTTATAAACAAGAAAACTGGGACGCAAATAGGTGAAGTGACTTACTCGAGGTCACATAGCGAAGCCTATGCTCTTAGTCTGTCTCAACCTAGATGGTGTTGGTTCAGCCTGCAGCACCCCAACCTGCTATGGGGCTGTTTTCAAAATTACCGTACTTCATTCCAAAATGACTGATTGCTGCTTGGACTCCTTTCTCTTGCTGTCTTTGTATTATCTAAGTGTCAACAGTGTTCTAGCTTCAAGATTGCCAACAGGTTTAATATGGCATGCCAAGTCCATTTGATGGCCTGTCACTCCCTCTGAGACCATGTCCGAGTTCTTGGGAAGATGCATGTGTTTATCTTGGGCAAAGGTAAGGGGATTTATGGTCTGCTTGGCTGCGTATTTGCTTTTCCTGTTCTAAACAGTAATTAATCCACTAATCCTAACATAGTGCCTTGCATATAGTAGGTGCTTAGTAAACTTTTGTGGGATGAATGAACTGACTGTTTGGGGATGATATATTAGGATGTGCATTAACATCTAGCAAGGTAGAGGATTCAAGACCTGAGTTTCAAGTTATAGTAGAATTCCTTTTTGAAAACTTAGATTTTGGTAACTAGACACTTAACCACCTACCTCGTGCACTGAGCATGTGGAAATTCATCATCTTCATCAATCAATCTACTAACTCCCAAATTGGACCATTTCCACTGGAGGTTGGTAGCTACATAACAAACCTAGCAGAAGCTATTGCCAGTGGTGCATTGCTTACACACCAGTTTGATTGTCCTGGTATACCTGAATTGCTGGGTTTCTGGATCATTTCCACAATCCTATCCTTTGGCATAAAACAGTCTTCCCATTTGGATTTTGTGATGGATTCACTCATGTGTCTGGGGATGGTATCTCTTGGGATTACTGAAGGGATCGTCTCTGAAGCACCAAACATTTATTTATGTTCACCACAAGAACCAAATACTGAGTTGGTTTACAGGCCAAGAGTTTTCTGCTCTGGATGAGAGGTAGCTCAGGTAGTATCCGGAGAGTACCATGCCTGTACATAACCGGTACTCAGATCCTCCAGCATGGAGTAAAATCTGATGTCCTCCAGGCAGCAATAAAGGCTGTGGGTAGGAAACATAAGAAAAGCCATGGGTTTGAGTCCCGGGAGGGGTCCTTAGATCCTTGTGTGGTACCAGTGAAGAGGGACTCTAGCTTATCATCCCAGAAGCCTCTGGAGAGGTCTTACACAATCTGGGGGCTTGTCAAGAAAACTGTAACAAATGAACAGTGTTATAAGTTGACCTGAGGCAAAAAGGAAAGGTCCTTCCAAAGACACAGGCCACAGGCCCTGGAGTGGGAGGGATAAGATGTACACGGAGCAAGCTGGGGGCACTGGCCTCGGGTCAACTTCCTTGCAAGGAGGCAGGGCGTCTTCCAGAGAAATCAAGGAACACCCACAGCAACCAATTTCAATTCAGTCTAAGCTTATATACATACATATATACGTGTGTGTGTGTGTGTGTGTGTGTGTGTCTGTGTGTGTGTGTGTGTGTGAAGCCTACTGTGTGCTCAGCCCAGGCTAAGTGCTCCTGAGGTAGTCAAGTAAAAGCATGGATTTGGCAGCATGACAATAACACTAGCTGACATTTATTTTAGTTGTTGCCAGGTCCTTTGCAACCATTATCTCATTTAACCCTCAAACAGGTGATGTCATCATCATATCATTTTAGAGAGGAGGACACTGAAGTACAGAGGGGTGAAGTGACTTTTCGGGGATCACACAACTAGTCAGTAGTATGGCTAAGGAGTTGGCCCACTCTGCCTGGCTCCAGAGTCTGAACTTTTACATACCCGGGGCCAATAGCTTTATCTCCCCTAAGGAAAAAGTTGAATTGTGGAAAGAGAAGTTCAAAAATGTCATAGCAGCCGGGCTTGGTGGCTCAGCCTGTAATCCCGCGCCTTTGGGAGGCTGAGGTGAGTGGGTTGCCTGAGCCCGCGGGTTCGAGACCCGCCTGGGGCAGCGAGACCTCATCTCTACAATAAATCAAAAAATTAGCCGGGCGTGGTAGCGCATGCCTGTAATTCTGGCTACTCGGAAGGTTGAGGAGGAAGGATCGCCGGAGCCTAGCGGGTCGAGGCTGCGGTGGCCAGGAGCGGCCACTGCACTCCAGTGTGGGCGACAGAGTGAGACTCCAACTCAAAAAAAAAAAAAAAAAAGTCATAGCAATTATTTATTTAAAAATAAATAAATGCTGACATATTCAGTAATTGAGGAATGACTGTGGATTGATAATGACAATGATGATACCTACCATTTAGCTCCCTATGTCCCAGATGCTGAGCTGACTGTTTCACATAATTATCTCATTTCTCTTTACAACAACTTTACAAGATGTCTACTTTATCTTCCCTCCCACATCATTTTACAGAGGAAGAAGCTGAGGATCAGAAAAAGTTAAGTCACTCGTCTGTTGCCACGAGGTTAATAACTGGCGCAGCTGCAATTGGAAGTCAGTTCATATTCCCAACCACATGACTTACTCTTATAAAGCCATTAGGAGATATTTTGGAAACAATTTTAATACATATGAAAGAAGTAAAAAAGAAAACAAAAACAAGTAATCAGGATTTGAGATTGTCTATCTAGTATGAGACCAACTCTGTGAAACAGAACGCAGAGAAGTAAGGGAATTCACAAACATGAACAGTGCCTCTCATTGATGAAGGCAGAATGGCCATTTGTGTTCTCTTCTTTATGTTCTTCTATAAGTTTCACTTTTTAAAAAACAATAAACATGTATTTTAATTAGAATCTTATTGGAGAAAGAGCATTTAAAGTATTGAGACCTGGTGCAGTGACACACCTGGAGTCTCAGCAATTTTGGAGACTGAGGTGGGAGGATTGTTTGAGCCCAGGAGCTCGAGACCAACATAGCAAGACCTTATCCCCACAACAAATTTAAAAAGTAGCTGGGCTTGGTGGTGCATGCCTGTAGTCCCTGCTACTTGTGAGGCTGAGGCTGAAGGATCATCTGAGCCCAGGAGGTTGAGGCTGTGGTGTGCCCAGTCTGGGCAACCGAATAAGACCCTACCTCAGAAAAAAAAAGTATAGATACATTGAAAAAGAAAACAAGAGAAGTAGAAGCTATGGCTTTGGTCTTGGAGAAGCTTGCAACTGGGTGGCAGAGCCACCCATGGAACCCTTGTCACCTCTGCCTTGTCTCATGGGTCTCAGTGTCCATGTCTTATCTCCTTGCAGGCAGACTTGGGGTCACATTACTGCTTGTGTTTCTTCAAGGGCACAGCACACACTAGGCATCCAAGGCATGTTTAATGGGTTCTTTGTGTGAAAAACAACACAGGACACATGCTGCATTAAAAACCCTAAGAACGATAACATAGCTGCCATTTGCTGAGATCCTGCTATGCATCAGGCTACATATTGAGGGCTTTACATACATGGTTTCTGTCCTCATAACAAGACTACATACTGGTAACCTGCTACTTCCACCCCTGCCATCCCCACCCTCTCCTCCTTCTCTGCCCAGTTCTGTGCCCAGGATGGAACCCCTCAGGCTGGGCTCCCTTGTTGACACGTGTCTGGTAGGGTTTGGCCATTGGACCCACACAGCAGGAGATCAGGGCCGAGGAGAGAGGGGTCTGGGTGTCCTTTCTCTGTTCCCTCCTGCTTTGGAGTCTGTGCGGCCCCTGCTCCCAAAATTGTCAGCAGCTCCTCCTCTATGTCTCTTTTGTCCCTGGGTTGGGCTTTTCCCTGGTGCCTTCCATCTTGCTGTTAGAGTCAGGGTGCAGCCACAGCCCTTGTTCATTCCCTTAATTCTGACCACCTTTCTGTAAGGAGTCCTACTCGCTCTCTTCTCCTGATCCAGGTGAGTGGAGTCCTGTGTTCTGTTGAGACTTAGACTGGCATGATGTTAATTACCCTGGTGAGTAACAGATAAGGAAGTAGAGTTTTGGAGACGTATAGTTACTAGACAGTTCGAAGTGGAGCAGAATTCAAACCCAGGTGCCCGTCTAGTTCCAAAGGCCCTTCCCATGAACTAAACCCTGGTGTTTGGGTTCTGCTGGCCAAAACCTGCCTCGAATGAAGCCACCAAGACAAAGTGCCTGGTGGCTCTGGCCTGCTGACATTCTTCCTGGGCGATCCCTCTCACAGAGGTCTCCCTTCTGTCCCCTGAATGAC